ATTCATTCAATTCATTCAATTCATTCAATTCATTCAATTCATTCAATTCATTCAATTCATTTTATTCAATTCAAAACAATAATAATAATAATAATAATATAAAACATTGTTATTATTATAAATAATAATATTAAATCATATTATAATTATTATTTTTAAATAAAATAATTTAATTTTCAATTATTAAAAACAAATCGATATTCTGTCTACACCATGATATATATTTAATATTTAATTTATTATAAACTTTTTAAATGTTAAATTTTCATTAGACTATCTTGAAAAACCAGAGGTCCAGGAGGCGCAGGCCCCTGGTAAATTGATATTATTTAATTATTTGGAAAATATTATTTATATTTTTTGTTTTATTAATCATTAAAGAATAGAAGGATTTTTGATTTTTGATAATCTTATAATAAATATTTTTGGTTTATTTATTTTGATATTCTTATATTTTTGTATAATTATAGTTATCGAAATAGTTTGTTTAAGATCTTTTTATTGATTTATTATAAACTCTTTTAAGAAATTCAATGAAATTCAGAATTAAAATATCTAAATTAAAAAAAAATTGGATAATAAAGAATTTCAAAGTTGTTTAGATTTGTAATTAGTAATTCTATAAAAAGCTTTTCGTTTAATATATCTGATTTTAATTTCGAAATCAATTTTAAATCTCGATAATTCCAATATAAAAAGATCTTTAATATTTTATAATTAGAAATATAATTGAAATATTCAATTAGTATAAAAATTGTTATATAAAAGCTTAGTAAAAAAGCTAGATCGAGGATTTTATTTTTGAAATATATTAAATTAAAATCCTGATCAATGAAATAAAGTAAAGGTTATATAAATTGATTTAATTTATAAAGGGTTTTGTAAATAAAAAGATTGTTAAACAAAAGAGATTTTAATTAGAATAATGAAGATTGAAATCACTTTATATAAGAATTGGGTTTGTAAGAAAATTTTAAAGATTGAAAAACGAATTGATTGTTTGATTAATTTTTGAATAATAATAAAAAGTATTGTAAATATTAATGATTATAAAGATTAAATAAATAAGAAACAAAAGTTATCAAAAGATTAAATTTCAAGAAATAATAGATCTGAGTTAATTTATATATATTTTAATTCCTTTTTTGATATAAATAAGAATATAAGAAATAGTTTTCTAATTATTTAAAAAAAAAAACATTTTATAAATAAAATAGATTTTTCTAATTTTCCTTGATAAATCTTTGAAGATATATAATTCTTGGATTAAAATGATATCTATCTAATCTATATTTATTAAAATCAAAATGAATTTGTATAAAATTGTTTCTTTATTAATATTTGTTTAAATAATAATAAATAGTTTATATTGATTTATTAAAAATAATAGAAATAAAATTAACAGGATTTGTAAATCGATTAATAAAATAAATATTGAAAGAGATAATAAAATAGATAGATTTGAATATACAAATGAGTATTTTAGAACAAAACTGATTCAAAAAGGAAGAAAGGATAAAAGAATCAATTACTTATAAGTCAAATACATATAGTTTTGAATAATCAGTTTTTATATAAATAAAAACTCTATTTTTGAAATAAATCTTTCAAATTGTTTAATATTTTGATTTTGATTTTCTTTTTTTCTTTAATCAATAAAGAAAATATTTAAAATTATTTAAAAAATAAAAATTGTAATAATAAAAGTATTTCAAGGGGTATAAATGTAAGAGTTCTGATCATTACTCACCACACCCCTTTTAAATTTCATTTACACTTTTGAAAATTTAATATTAAATCAATATTACAATATTTTTTATTAAAAATTTGATAATATATTAATAAATAATAGTTAATCCTTTTACTTTAATCATATCCTTTAATTTACAAATCAATCTCTCAATATATAACTTGAAATTTAAAAGATCAAATATCTTCCACAATTTTTTAAACTCCCTTTTCAATTCCTTAATAGAAATAAATACAAATGATAATTTTTTTAATTCCTTCTTTATTCAATATTATACCTTCTCAATTAAATTGAGATTTGAAAAAGAAAAAGATTATTGAAAACCTCTAATATTATACGTTAATCAAATTAATTTAATATACTTCAAATAAATCTTTATATTATCCTTTATGAATATATATCCAAATCTTAATTCATCAAATAAAAAAAATATAATAAAAATAAAAATCTGATTTCAATATACTATTGAATTTACTTTTTTATTATTAAAATTCTTCTTCAAAAAAACTAATAAAGATTTATAATTTCAATCAAAAACTTTCTATATTATTACAAAGATCCTTTTTGATTTATATATTAATTTGATATAATTTCTATACCTCTTTTTTTCAATCCTACAAATCATTTATATCCTACTATATTTTCCAACCTCGAAAATACTTTCATCCGATTATATAATCTTCTTCCAATCATCCCCTTTAAACTTTTCGAAAGTTATATCAATTATTCTTTATTAATAATATATATACATAAAATCTAATCTCTTTTTTGTTGATTTCCTAAAAATAAATAACTTAAAATAAACTATATAATATTTATAATCATATTAATATAATTTATATCGAATAATATATACTGAAACCTTAACCTTTAATATATATTTCATTTATTCAAAAATCATCCTTTTTCCTTTTCAATCTTTTATCAATTCCTTGATAATTTGTTGAATCTCTTTAATTATTATTATAAAGAATCGATATACCTTCTCTTTACAAATAATTCTAAATAAATTCGATTTAATAATACCTTTTATAATACTTCAAAATACACCCAAATTTTATTCGATCCAAAACCACAATTTTCCATCCCCTCTAACTTAAAAGATTCTAACTCTACAAAAGATACCCCAATTTTGATAAAATTTATAATTATCATTCTCATCTTGAATTTTGACAACCATTTTGAATTTGAATAGAAAATATTAAAAATTTGAATTTTGATGAATTATTTATAATTGAAAATTGAAAATAAGATTACAATTATTTCTCGATAAAATATACAATTAGAAGTTTCCAGAACTCTTATTATATTATATTTGATAAAATAATTATTTTCAATATATTTTTTCGAGTTTTATAATCGATAGATTTATAATTTGAAATATAAGCTTGTATTATATTATTGATAATAATAATTGTATTAAATAGTTTTTAGTTTTTGAAAAAAAAAAAGATATTAATATTTAATATCTTCAAATTCTTTTTCAATAGTTTTATTCCTAATTTGAAGTTTATTAATTATATTATATAATATTCGTCAAATGAAATATTCGATTAAAACTGGATAATATAGATTTACTTTTGATTAACGCATTCTTTAATAGTATTGAAGATTATATCTTTTGTAATTATAATAAAATTTATTTTGAATTGATTATTGAATATAATAATTTTCTTAGAGATATAATTTAAATAATAAACAGTTTATTTCTTTTGGATTTTTATTTTGTAATTATTAATTATCGAAGATATAATAAATTTTTTTTTTAAAACTAAAAAATTAATTAATAAGTTAATATAAAAAACAAACCTTATTTTGATCTTTTGGATTTTTTTTAAAAGGAATATATTAAATTTAAAAATCTTGTTTAAAATAATAAAAATTGCAAAAAGATTTATTTCATAGATTGAATAGATTTAATTGATTTATATAAATAAACGATTATCAGAAGTTGTTTTTGTGAATAATTTGATTATAAAAAGAGTAATTGAATTGAAGGTTTTTTGAATATAAAAAGCTTTAAAAACAATAATTATAATAGATATATTTATATAAATAATAATAGAAAAAGTAAAAGGAATTAGGGAAATGATAATGGGAATAATAGTTTTTTGAGGAAAGTAGTATTCTATAATAAGAATATCGAAATACTATTCAATAGTTGTTTTGAAATCAAAACAAAGTGTTGTAATCAATTTTCGAGATTTGATAAATAAAATTCTTATTTCATTGAAACTCAAATAACTATCTAAAAGGGAAATGATTAAATCAAATATATTTTCAATTTCATTAGTTTTATTAATAAAAACAAATATTCTATTTAAAAAGATTTAGAAGAGTTTTAAAAGATTGAAAAAGGTTATCATATTAAAAGTAGGTAGGAGATATAAATCGATTATTATAACGATTATCATAGGATTTTCAAAGATTTTGTAAATACGAAAGTTATATAGAATTTCAAACTGGTTTCAAAAATGCAATGATAAATCGCGATTTTGATCTGAATCTGAAATCAATTTGATATATATTGAATCTGATAAGATTTACACAGACTACCAATTCACCGATAGGAATTGAATCATGTGATTGTTCTTATACAAGATCTATAATATATAAGAGATAAATCTTTAATAATATAATTATTAATTAATATTTTAAATTTAATTTATTTGATTTATTTGATTTAATTTAAAATAATTATTTATTTAAATATTCTTTAAAATAACTTAGTTGAAAAATTAAAATAGAATAAAAAGTTTTAAAATGATTATAAAACTTTACAACTTTTATAAAATTAAATAATAACTACTTAACAATGTGGCCAATTGAAATTCATTATATAAGCCAGTGTAAAACTTCATTCGATATTTGGTAAAGTTGTTAACTCAAATTACTCTCATAAATGGTTCAAGTTATATACGGTGGGGGGCCTGGCGTTCCACAGCCAACTTAGATGCTCCCTAGACTAGAAGCAAAATTTGAAGTGAAATGATCGAAAGATTCTTCTTCCAATCAGATATTCTGCCTTACAAGTTAGATAATTTTCCAATGTAATCTTATAATAGAGTATCTTTCAGTTCATCGGAGTTTTGTTATTATAATATTCACGACCCAAAAACCGCGTGACAACCTTATAGAGTGGTAAGCATTCGATTGTATGAACTGAAGACGCTGTTCCATGTCTGATTCATAAGTGAGCACTCCGCATATTCAGAGATCGGTGTAATAGATGAATGAAAATGAATTAATCCTACGGTGGAGTTTGAGCTATTATTCTTACTAATTGTCCCTGAATAGAGCTTTTCCTATAAGATGTGACAAAAATAGAACAGATTCGTTTTGTATTTGCTTTATCGTTCTTCTGTTACAGTAATACAAATCATTCCTATGAGTTCCCCATATGCACTATGCATGTGGTTGTACAATGATGTTGATAGCTCCTCCAGGACGATCCCCTACTGTCTTAAAAGCATCATTAACCTCGTCCAAGGAGAAGAATTTGTGTTGGAGAAATGAGAAGTCAATGACGCCCGCCCCAATCAACTCAATAGCCTCATCTATCTCCTCACTAGTAAACCACAATGTGCCATTGACACTAACATCGTGTGTCATAACCTCACCATAAGAGTGAGTTATATCGCCTGGAACACCACCAGCAGCCAATGCTACTCTCCCGCCACGTTTAACCGAGCTGATGAGTTTGCTGGTACCATTTGCATCACCTCCATTACCAAGACAATCGTAAAGACCATCGGTACCAAATCCGTTTGTTTGTTCTTTGATCCATTCAAGAATGTCTCCATCATCTTCAGTGGAACGGACAACAACACGTCCCTTCGTAGCCATTCCCTCAACCTCAGCGAGACGTTCTTTATTCCTTCCAATTCCCAAGATTTTCGTGCAACCAAGACCTAGACCTATGGCTACTGCAGCATACCCTAGGGTACCTGTTACACCATTGATGAGGAGAGTTTTTCCTGGACCCATTCCACATTTCTTGAGACCTGCAAAGGAGGTACCAATGTACCCAAATCTCGCTGCAGTATTGATATCGATTGAAGGAGGAATCACAGCAATATTTGCATCAGGCGAGAGCAAGTATTGTGAAAGCGAACCAATAGGATATTGCTTGAGAATTTTCTGTCCTCCTGGTGTTAGAGTACCGAAATAGGCACGCAAGCATCCCGAGGTGCATAGCTCTCTCCTTCCTGTTTTTTTGTTTAGCAAATGGGAAGGGTGTTCACGAGAAACAGGTTTCACTCACCCTTACGACATTGTTTACAGTTGCCACAAGTGATGTGTGGATCAACGTAAACTCGATCCCCGACCTTCAATCCAACAACATTTTTTCCTACAGCCTCAATGATACCAGCAGCATCGAGGCCGAAAACGCACGGCATCTTGGGCAAAGTGTAGTGTAGACCCGGACCCTTTTTCACGATGTTGGCGCTATTTGGAACAAGACAGGCAGCTTCAACTTTGACAAGAACATCCTTTGGTCCTGGAATCGGCTTTTCGATTGTGGATGTTGTTAGTGGCTTTCCTGGCTCCACCAATTGGGCAACTTTCATAGTGGTCATGATTGCGGCAGATTTAATACAAAAGTATAACAGATGGTCTAGACTGATTTGTTCGTCAAGATTTTGCATGTGTGATTTCGATAGTGGACGGGATGCAAGTGGATCTTATATACACATATGTTAGAGGCAGCATTGTGGTGTCTGGTCATCATTTCCTAGGTTGCCAACTTGCAAGTTTCGACTTTCGGTAAGAGTGTAAAAGTCCGGATTTCCGAAATGATTGTCCAAGGCCTTCGTTTTGAACGAGCAAGATTCATGTATGAAAGTAAAGTGGTTCATCTGTAATTCCAAGTCCAAATCCTCAAGGTGATCAAGTTGCTGCAACGGACATTGAACTTGATAATTCCTAGAAAGTGTAAGGTCTCCACTCTAGGCATGCCACAAGATGGAAAAACACAAAGGGACCAGGTCCCATTATTAAGTGGATGGCTTCATACTTTCAACAGCACGAGGACCGTTGTTGATTTAGAAGTATCGAGCACGATGAGCAGGGATGCTCAATTTTAGCGCTGGTGACATCGCTTTTACAGAGGTTGAAGGATGCGATAAATACCCCGAATAACAACTTCTTAACTTTGATATCTTGTTTAACAATTAATGACAATTGAGAATCAGTAACTTTTTTCCCTCAAATGTTATACAATCTTCAAATCTTGAATTATATTATAATTTAAATTCTTTCAATTCAATATACAATCTTAAAATAAAATATTAATATTATAATTATAATTAAAAAACCTATAATATTTTTAAATTTGACTTGTTTATTATATATAAATATATATTATAAAAAAATTAAATTTCAATATTATTTTATATATTAATAACATATTCTTTTAAAAATTAAAATTAAAATTAAAATTAAAATTAAAATTTATTAGATAATAAAAAATTCTTTTTAATCCTTTTTAACAATATTGTAATATTTTTTGAAATTTTAATATTTATTTCAAATTAATCATTTTATTTTATAAATTATATAAAGTTTAATAATATTTTAAATATTTTTTGGATATTATATAAATGAAATTTAGATGAAATATATGTTATTATAATATAAAATCATAAGGATTAATTAAAGAGATCTCTTATCTCTCGATGGATGGTGGTAAATGGTAGGTGGGGGCGAACCGAGCGAGGGCGCCCACAGCTGGGAAAAATTCCGCGGCTCTTTCCCACTGAAATGTCTAGGCGTCTGGGCATTGAATTACTAATCATCGAGAGCGAATCAAAAACAGTTTTGAAGTTGTCCCGAACCCGAACGGATATGCACCTCAAATAAAGAATCCCTGCTTAGCGTGTTCGGATTTCCCGATCGACAAGGGTAGTCTTCTTGTATATTCAGACTCTCTCCCCGCAGACAAGAGTAGGTTCTACTTCGTATGGCATTACAAAAGCAGTCTAGATACGCAAGCCGGTACGAAATTCGTTAAAAAAGGGCAAAGCACCACAAGCCGTGCGACGAACCAGCACCTGGTTGCGCCGCTGTAGTTCTGTGGATTAAAACCAGTGTGACTTCGGACATAGGGGATTTGAAGTCCAGTAGAAACTCCGTTTTACTGGAATTCGGGTATTTTAAGTTGCATCGGACAAGCTTTATGATGGTAGGACTAAGGCTCGAACGTCCTCTGAAGGCCTATTTATCACGGATGGTATAATCACAGAGTACATAAACAATCTTGGAATAGATAATACATAAGAGTATATAGAGTCGTATTGAAGTGAATAGACTTGCCCTTGATCCTATTGATCAAGGGCCTCATATACATATAAGATCTAATAAACTATCTAGCTAATGATCGTCCTGATAAGGAAATAGACTAGATAAATAGAGTTTTGTAAAGAATGGTAAGATCTATATAATTATATGATATTGATCAGATATAAGGAAAATTTGAGCGAATGAGTACTATGATGTTAGAGATCACGTGAAATCATATAAGAGCACATGATTTCCGTGACAATATTATTGTCGGCTTGCCGACACCAAGACCTTGCTGTACGTGTAGCGTACCGCAATTTACCCGGTGTAGGTTGTAGAAAATGAGAAACTCGCTTAAGTGAGTCGCGATCCTAACAATCTGATTAGTCTAAAATACCCCGGTAAATAATCTAACAAAAAGCTTGGCATAAGCCTTATAACCTCAGGCAAATCTGATTTAGAACTTTTTTCAATTCTATTGAAATCATTTAACTTTGAAATCATTCAATTCAACTTTATTTATTTAATTCATCTCATTCAGCTTGTAATAATAATAATAATAATAATAATAATAATAATAATAATAATAATAATAATAATAATAATAATAATAAATATATATAACATATAAAAGTCTTATAAAAGTCTTATAAGAGCTGAATAAACAAGATCAATTATATTTCTTAGAATTTATAATTGAAGAATTATAGCTTGTAAAGAGTATTTATATATATATATAAAATACTTATATAATAATTGTATAATTATATATATTCTATTTTAAAATGATTATAATCCTATATTAAAAAAAGTAAATCTGGTTAGATGTTTATTTATTTATTTGTTTATTTATCGTTATAGATTGTAGGTTGTATATAAAAAGTATATGATATTTTTAGCTATCGATTCCAAAATTGAGCAAATGATGTTTTAAATAAAGTATTAATTAATTAGGGATAGTATATAAATATAGTTTTTAAAAAAGTTAAAGTAGGGGTTATATAATTGCTATTACAAAAAAAATGAAGTTATTTAATTTTAAGATGTATTTGTAGTTCTTTTTGTTTATTGAATCTTTATTTTGATTTTTTTAATTCTTTTATATATATTTTAATTAATTAGTTTTTCATATATATCTTTTTCTTCTTTTTCAATTTTTTTTTAAAAATAGCAATTATATATTATAGGTAGATTTTTGTATAGAATTTTGTTATTTTTAATAATTTAATTAATCTAATTTTATTGAGGAGGGTGTTTATAAATTATAAAATGATTTCGAAAAAGAGAGAATTTGTAAATGTTTTATATATTTTCTTTTTTGTAAAAAGAAATGTAATAAGAATTTTTTTTTGTAAAAATAATAAAAATGAATTGTAGAATAATTAAATTATTTGTGATATATTACAAAATTCTTGTATTGTGATTTAATTGTAAAGATATAGTATAATATAATTCTTTTATTATTTGTATAAATATAAAGTAGATTTTTATAATATATTGAATTGATAGTATTCTATAATTGAATATTTGTTTTATTAGTTTTAGATTTTATTAATCTTTTAAATGAAATTAGTATATAGATTGGGTTTGGAGGAAAAAATAATAAGATTTCTTTTTTTGTTATTTTATTGATTGTTTTGTTATTTGGGATATTGAGATATTTGAGGATTTAATAGATTTGAATTTTGTTAGAAGGGATATAAAAGAGTTTAGATTTAATTGTTTATATTTATTTTAGTTGTAAAAAATCTTCAAAGATTGATTGAGAAAAACTATTGAAATATAATCTTAATTTAAAGATGATTTTGTAATAGTTAAGAAAAATCCAGAAATCAATAACAAATTTGATTAATAAAAGAATTAAAATTTTTAATATATTATTTATTATAATTTTAATCTCAATATTGAAAATCTTTGTATTGGGGTTTAATGAAAAGATATAATAAATAATTTGAATATCGAATTGCATAATAATATAATTATCTTTTGTAATATTGTTTTTGTTTTCGTTTTTGAAGTTATTTGAAAAGATTTGTATATTGCTTTTTGGGATCGAAGAGTGAAAGGTTTTGAAATCCTTAATTGTTTGTTCTTTTGATCTTTTTTTGGATTGATTATTTATTGTTTAATTTTGTTTTTAGATTCTTTATATTTCTATATAGGATAGACAAATGAATTGATTTTTTCAATGATTGGTAGAGTTGTAATGAATCTTATAAATTTGGTATTTGGTAATTGATTGTTTAAAATGATTGTTTTGATTATTGTATTGGTTTTGATTAATAAAGGATGGTAAAGATCTAATTTGATTATTTTTATAGTATAAGATTACAAAGCTTGATTTAATTCGATCTTGGAAGGTTTAAATTTAGATTTTTTGTATAATATAATTGTATTAACTATTTTGAATATTAGAAATATAATTTTTGTATAAATTAGAATTATTTTGTTTAATAGATTTAAATAGATATCTATTAAATTCGAAATCTTGAAATTTAAAAAGTTGGATTTTGATTTTGAATATTCTAATTATTATATTTTTGATATAAAGTAACATTTTTTCAATATATAGATTATAATTATTTGTTTTATGAAATAAAAAAGGATTTCTTGATAAATATTATTGAAAGATTGTAATATATTTGTTATTTTAAAAACTTTTATAATAAGAATTCGAATATATAATTTGAAATTTAGTTTTCTATTAAAGTAGATTTTTAATTATTATAAAGAATTAGGTTTCTTTTCGATTTTGAAGTTATTGGTTTGTATTGATAAAGTTTTATTCAATAAATTATTATTTTTATAGAAATAAATTAATTTGGATTTTTTGAAATGGAAAACAATTCTTTTCAATCTTTTTTAATCAAAAGTTTCTTGTATATCAGTTTGTAGTATAATATAATTATCTTATAAATTATGAAATGAAATAAATAAAACAATATTATTGATATATTCAAATTTTGTTGAAGGATTGTTTATTTAAAATATAAAAAAAATTAATAAAATTGAAGATCCTTAAAGCAAATTATAGTATAATTTGGTTTTGAAATTAATTTTATTGTTTAAATACATTTGAATAGATTAATTAGTAGTAAAGGATTAGATTTATTTGATTAGATTGTGTAACCAGTCTTGTTTTTTAAAATGATTAATCAATCGATTAAAAAGAATTATATCAAAAACCCTTTTCATATTTATAATAAATAAAAACATTTTCAAATCTTTTTTTAGATCTATTTCAATATTATAAGTTATATATATTATAAAATCTATTGAAAAATAAAGTGAAAAAGTATTGAATTATTGATTTGTTAGTATTTTGAATTTTAAAACAAATTACAATATCCTTTTTGTAATACTAAGAATTGAAAACAATATAATAAAGTAATATGATTTTGGATTTGTATAATCGATTTTGTTGGATTTTGAGATAATTATAATTATAACAAATCGAAAGTATTTAAAATGATAATTTAATTTAAATTATTTCTGAAAAAAAAAAGAAGGATTAGTTTTTAATTAATAAGATAAAATAAAAATTGTATAAATTGATTTAATCTATAAAAGATTTTGTAAATAAAAAGGATATTAAATGAAGAAGATTCTAATTGAAATAATAAAGGTTGAAATCGTTTTATATAAGGATTGGATTT